CAGCTTGCTATATCCATAATGCTCCTTGAGAGAGCTTTCTACAGCAGCTCACAGGGGAACGGGCTTCTCTAACAGTGGTACTCATCTGTGGAGATGCCTGGCTCATAACAAACTAATCTAGTCCTTCAACTCTAAGATTCCTGAATCCTCAGAAATAGCCCATGTCCCAGAAACCATTGAGAAATCATTTCTGGCCTTTCGGTGCCCTTTGCATGAACAAAGGTCAAGGTGGAAACCCACAGGGAAGCTGTATGTCTTGGGTTAGTCCTTTAAATCAACTGTCAATAGGATGTTCTTGGCCATCAGTCTTTTCCTCACTGCACTCACTTGGCCTGAGTTTCACCCTCTGTCTGAACCAGACTAAAAACTTTTGAGAAGAATTATACATAATTTATCTTTAGACCTTTTCTTTAATGGAATTTCCAGTTCTGTACCAGCTCCATAATCATATTCTGAAGGGATTCTTAATAACCCATATTTTACTGTTAATAAATGAACAGCTTTGCTGGGTATGCCTGTAATCCCAGCACTCGGGGAGGCAGAGGCTGGCAGATCTTTGTGAGTTGAAGACCAGCCTGGTCTATAAAGCAAGTCCAGGACAGCCAAGGCTGAAAAGAGAAACCCTGTCTTGAAAAAAACAAAAAACAAAAAACAAAAAACAAAGCAAAACAAAAACTTCTAATATACTTCTCAGTATAAAACCAGAGACATTTTAAGATTTTTTTTTTTTTTACAATTATTAGGAAAGGCCATTTTTTTTTTTTTTTTTTTTAGAAAAAAAAATGGGTTTAAAGAATTTAATGAAAATAAAGAAAGCCAGCAAAATAGATTATTGGGTAAAGAAGCTTGCCACCAAGCCTGGTGACTTGAGTTCAATCCCTAGAACACACATGATGGAAAGAGAAAACCAACTCTGACAAACACACGTGTACCTATGTGTATGGTACACACACACAAATATAATTTAAAACATTTTGAGGAGACAAATTATTGCCAGGCTTGATGGTACACCCCTTTAATCCCAACATCCCAGAGACATATATGTCTTAGTTTCTCTAAGTTCAAGGCCAACCTGCCAGAGCTACACAGTGAGACCCTGTCTCAAAAAAAGGGGTGGTGGTGAGATTTTTACAATTTCTAACTATAGCTACTTTTTAGTGAATTTTCCAGCAGTATTTCCATTTCTAGTTTGTATCTGGGGAGAACTAAAGTACTCTGCAATATGGTAGTTGGTGGCATAGTAAGCTGTCTACCACAGCCAACAATCTCACTGTGCGTACTCCTTCAGATTTATCCACGCTAGGAACGTCAGCAACTATGTCCAGCAGAGTTGAAGGACTGAAATAGATAGGGCCTGTTAACAGGTGACTGTACTGCTCCTTTGACATACCTTGGAGAGGGTCCTGCTGGTGTTAAAAAGATCTGAGGTCAAGGGGTGTGCTCCCAATTCTCTCTACTTCCTACGAGCTATGTGATCCTCTTTGGAGCTTCAGTCCGTGTCAGGAATGTTACTGATTGTCTTAAAGAGTGAAAACAGTCTGGCTAAAAAGGCCTGACAAATAGTAGCTGCTCAATATGTGTTCCTTATAAGGAAATTCATTCTATTAGCAAAATGCTATTAGCCAGCACAGGTGCTGATAATCCTCATCTTGGCTTTCATGAAGCAAGATTTCACCTAACCTGGGCTCTTCATTTTAACTGAGATGTTGTTCAATTCTGATAGAAGGAACGTACCAAAAATCAATTTGAGCTGGATGTGGTGGTACATGCCTGTAACCCCAGCACGCAGGGAGACAGAGGCAGACAGATGGCTTTGAGTTTGAGGCCAGCCTGGTCTACAAAGCAAGCCCAGAACATCTAAGACTACAGAAAGAAATCCTGTAACAAAAAACAAAATCAAAGATTTCTCTTAGCTGGGCATGGTGGCACATGTCCGTAATCCCAACACTCAAGAGGCAGGGGAGGTGGGTTTCTGTAAGTTTGAGGCCAGCCTGTTTACACTGTGAGTTCAAAAGAGCCAGTGCTACATAGTGAGACCCTGTCTCAAACAAACAAATGTAAGTTTCGAATTTTCCTTCAAATTACCCCACTTTCTCTTTGGTGCCCATTCTTATACAACTCTTCCCACAAAGTCTTGTATCTATCTTGCAAGGATCCTGCCTGGTTCTTAGTTGGGGTTGAGGTAAAAGATTTAAAATACAACCTTCAAAACCAATGGCTTCTGTTGTTGAGTATTGAACAATCTATCATGATGAGAGTCCCTGCTCGTCCTCTCCATCCTTCTTGTCCTTCTAGCCTGTCTTACTGTACCCTCAATTGTGGAATTGCACACTGCTCTATAGACCCTTTTCAGGTTTCCGATTCTTCTGTTCTGCATTTTCAGGATGTCTCCCGTGCTAAGCTAGCTGCTATAATTCCAGACCCAGTTGTAGCTCCTTCTATAGTGCCTGTTCTGAAAGATGAAGTGGACAGAAAACCAGAGTACCCTAAGCCAGACACTCAGCAGATGATCCCATTTCAGCCACGGCACTTAGCACGTAAGATCCAGAACTGAGATCTTGTTTGAAGCAAGGTGTGGGAGGGAAGTGACCTGGCCTTTTCTACCGCAGGTTAATTATTAGACTCAGGGTCACAGTGACAGGGACTTGACAGGAATCTTTGAACTGGATGAACTAGGAATGTTTAAAAAAAAAAAAAAAAAAAACGGGAAAAACTCTGAGTGCTGCAGATTCTTAGAACCTATTTCCTAGTGGCAGTTTTCATAAATGCTGCAATGTGCAGATGGCTTGACCTACTGGTAAGTCACTACAGTATCACAAACTGCACCGCAGTTGTGAGTAGTTAGTGGCCCCTCTAAGTCCTCTTTCAACAAGACCCATCTCATTATAAGTGCTATTGAATAACTGACTTTAAACAGGATTGCAACACATTGTGTAACTCAAAAATAGTTGGCAAAATGTCCTTTAGTTTAGCCCTTGCTTGCTCTATGTGAAGTCATGTTTGCCTCCCAGTGACCGTGAGGGTGACACTGCATTTCCTGTCTGGCCCATTTCCGTTAGTAATGCAGCTAAAGCAGTGTAACACATTTTTTTAAAGTGTTCAGAAGAAAGCAGGGACATAGAAAGTTATGTGCAGGTCGCTTGATTTCAGCTTTCTCACACAGAAGCTGTGCCCACGTAGTAGTTCACACCTGGGTTCTCTCTCAGCTCCAGGCTTACACCCGGTCCCTGGTGGAGTATTTCCAGTGCCTCCTGCTGCTGTGGTCCTGATGAAACTGCTCCCTCCTCCCATCTGCTTCCAGGTTTGTTCACTGTGCACACTGGTTCTGTGGACCGCAGTCACTGTATGTGTGTGTGTTACTCTTATGTAAGGGGAAGTGCACAATAGTTAACTTGTCAGATAACTGAGATGAAATTTGTTCATGTCATGATAGGGTCCTTTTGTACAAGTGGATGAACTGATGGAAATTTTCCGAAGATGCAAGATACCAAACAGTGAGTAACAGAAGCTCCTTTCTCAGTGTGGAGTCCATATTATTGTTTCCCAAGGAGGAAGGATGGTTCTCTTCCACTGAGGTGCAGAGCTACTTGGAGTGAGCTTTCTGTTGTGTGGGCCTGGGCACATTCTGATAAAATGTCATCAGTGCAGGTGGAATGCACCGCCTGATCATTTTCTCAGTAGCGGAAATCGTAAGCAGCCCGCGCTGTCCTCCCTGCTTCTCCCCACAGCTGTTGAGGAGGCTGTGAGGATCATCACTGGCGGGGCGCCAGAGCTGGCTGTGGAAGGCAACGGCCCAGTGGAAAGCAGCGCTGTACTCACCAAGGCTGTCAAAAGGCCCAACGAGGATTCAGATGAAGATGAAGAAAAGGGGGCTGTAGTCCCCCCTGTTCACGACATTTACAGAGCACGACAGCAGAAACGAATACGATGAGATCGCTTCAACACCTGCCTGCCTCACAGAAAAAACTCTTACCCGAGATTCCTTTTTTGCCTCTTAAGTCATGTTTTAAAGAGACAATGCTTTGTTACAAGGTTTTTTAAAACAAAATTGTATTGTCATTTGGTGCCTCTATCATATGGTTCTTGAAAAAAAAAAACCAAGCCTGTGTGGATTTTGAATATGGAGCAGACCTATCCTCTAAGCAAGATTAGGTTTTAAATATTTGAGAACAGTACAAAATGGCAGAGCCACATCTTGTTTCTTTTCAAGGATGTCTTCTATATGCCACTTGAAGATTTGTGAGTTTTCCACAGTTTTATTTTAAAAACTGGATGGCTTATGATTGTAAAACACTTTCACATTTTCTGAAAACATTTGTTCTCAGTTTGCTTATGTAGTCCTGCCTTACTGTTTGTTTTTATTTATGGCAGAATGTGGCGTCTGTTTTGTAGTTATAAGTTTTTTAAAAGGTCCTTTGAAAAATTAAAAGGTCCTCAAAAATATGCCCGTTTCTTTGTGTGTTTATGTGGGGAGGGGGCACCCAAAATGTGTACACGAAGAAGCCAACAGACCACTCTCCCTCTGTAACTCTTACTCTCTTGAGACACTGTTTCTCACCATTTTTGATTGGTGGGAGAATTCTGAGGGTCTGCTGGTCTCTGTCCCCAATGCTGGAGTTATGGGCAAAGTCACGCCTGGCTTTTTATGTAGGAGCTAAGGATTCAAAGTCAGATCCTCCAGCCCTCTCATCCACTGGCCATCTCCCCAACATTTCTTCTGTTTCTTCAGATTTTATTTCCATAACTATAGACATATTATTCATCTAATACCATTTACAGTAAATGTTAACAGTACACGAGAAGTCAAATTCTGGGTATAGTCAATTATATGTCTTTTCTTTTCACTTTTGTTGTTGGGCTTTTGGTGTTTTATCTTGGTATTCACAGGAAACATATTAATAACATGCATTACCACACCCAGAACACTATTTTGCTTGGAAACAAAAATTAGCATTAGAATAGCTTGTAGCACATATTTGAAGAAATCATCCTCAAACAGCCATCGTTCCTTTTATTTATTTATTTGTTTGTTTGTTTATTTATTTATTTATTTTTCAGGTGGGGGTCTTGCTATGCAGCCCAGGCTGGCCTTCTGCCTCAGCCTCTGAAGCATTAGGATTTCAGGTCTATTCCCCAGGCTGGGCTCACCACGCCCTCTCCTGAAGCCTGGCATTACTGGACAGTTTTCAGTCCCTGGTGCTCAGGGATCCGGCTGGAGATCACTCCACCCTCATGGCTCTGCTTCTACCATAATGCCCTGTCTAAAACACAGACATTAGAATATAAAATTTACCAGATCATCTGTACCACATCAAAGTACTCTCATGTCACAGGATGTGTCAGGAATTCTGCTCAAATACTGAGGACTCTTCTTTCTTCCTTATCTAGACAGTGAGGTTGGGCTGTTACCTCCAACACTTTAAATCTAATTTCTCAATTAGAATTCCATCAGCACATCTGTGTTCTCATCACAGTGAATTCTCTTTCCTCTTATACTAAACTATATACACCTGTCTTTTAAGGATTAAAGTAAAATAATTTCATTTCTTTAGGTCACTGTTGTGGTTTTGAATGAGGCTCCCGTTAAATAGTCCAGGTTAGCCTTCACCTTGCAATTCTGTTGCCTTGGCCTCCAGAGAGCTAAAATTACAGGTATATGTCACTATACCTGGCTCTGTAAGCTTCAACTGCTGCCACCATGGCTCAGGAGCACTTCTATAGAAAGAACAGTATTTCTGTTCTTTGTTTTGTTTTTTGAGACAGAGTTTCTCTATGTATCTCTCTCTGGCTGTCCTGGACTCCCTCTGTAGACCAGGCTGGCTTTGAATGCAGAGATCTACCTGCCTCTGCCTCCCGAGTGCTGGGATTAAAGGGGTATGCCACCATGCCTGGCTCTGTTCTTGTTATTTTAAGTTGGAGCCTGTTACCTTTCAAGTAACCGATGCCACGGGGGCTATGGCTTCTCAGCGCTGCGTGTGGTAGAGGGGTGTCACGTGCTCGTGCACATAACATCTTCCACTGTTTAGATCCCAGGGCCTGTGTAGGCCAGGCAATCACTGACCACTGTACTACATCCCAAGCCAACCAAACAAGCCTTTAAAAACCATGTCATAGCCACTGGGTGTGGTGGCAGAGGCCTGGAACTTCAGCATTTGTTGAGACAGAAGCAGGAGGACTGATGCAAGTCTGGGGCCAGCCTGCTCTACACAAGCAAGTGCCAGGCCAGCCAGGGTATGTATAGAGAGATGCTCTTTCAATAATTGTAATAATAAAATAAGACAAAATAAATTATCAAGTAACTCTGGTGTCGAACAGAAGGGCTCTGGAACACTGGTTAGGCCAGAGCCAAGAAACAATAAATGGGCAGAGGTTGGCAAGAGTGGGATAGGACACTGTAAGGCTGGAGACAGCCTGATCATGGAGCACCCACAGGAAGAGTAGGGGAGCAATGCTGGAAATGGGACAGAAGGTCAAGTCATAGCTTACAACTGTCAGCATGGAACATCTGAGAATGAATGACCCACAGGAGACACTGGTCCCAGACTCCTTGGGAGAAGTGGCGCCTCCAACCTGATGCAGCAAGAGCAGACAGGCAGCCCACTGATAAAAGCTAAGTGCTACTATAAACTCAAGAGAACAAAAGCTTCTTGGGTTTGTAAACTTGCACTCATAAAGACTGTCCTCAAAACAGAAGTCGGTGTATTCTTAAGCCTTTTCACCAGCGACACGACGGTCTTCCCTTTGGAACCAGCGCTATTAAACAGGAATGTACCACATGCCAGCAAGGGCATTGCAGGGGGGTCTGAGATGAGGTGCATGTGCGGCAGCTGCGCCTCAAGAGCGGAGGAGCTTACTGAGGATCGCATCGTAGTAAGGACAGAACACCATCTTGTTATAGTTGACCAGGCGCACAAATCTCACGGCAACTTCTTCCAGCTCTTTCTGAATGGGACCCAATCCCCCAGGCACTGTAGGCAAGAGCTTCTGATGACCAGAGGCAAGGTATGTCTCCAAGAAGGTCAAGATCCGGGACTCTGTGGCAGAAGGGAAGAGTGAACATCAGGGTGGCTCCTCAGGGTGACTTCATACTTGTCTGATTAGGTCTTGGTTAACTGAGTCATCCCCTTCTGGGGGAGCTCTTTCCTTATCACCCCAGATCACATCCACAGAACTTTGTACTTCTGGGCGGGAAGAACACACGTATGCACACAAGGAGTCTGCAGCACAGGCATGCTCTGCTCCAGGAGGAGCAGGACACTGCGGCCAACACTGGCTACAGCCATAGGGCACACACACGCAGAAAGAAAAGTAAAGCAGGAACAAGTTCAAATTGAGGGCTAGAAAGATGGATCAAGCTTAAGAACACTGGCTTCTTTGTATGAGCACATAAACACACACACACTAAACAAATCTTAAGATGGGATGGCAACACGTGCCTTTAATCCCAGCAGAGATAGATGGGTCTTTATGAGTTCAAGGCCAGCCAGACCTACACAGAGACCATGTCTTAATAAATACATAAATAAAAATCTTGGGGAAAAAATGATTCAAAGAAGTAAAGAGGGTTGAATATATAACTCCATGGTGAAATGCATGACCCTGGGTTCAATTTCTAGAACTGAAACTATTAGGAATGAGAAGAAGAGAAAGGAGGGAAGGAGGGAGGATGATTCCTGTCCTGCTAACTTGTGCTGTCTTTCATGACTGAGAACATGCTTCCTTCTTTGATGCTCACAGTGGGAGACCACAGGAGTCACCTGTGCTCTTGTTCTACTTAAGAGGAACAATTTTGGTTGGTACCTTTTAGCCCACTCCATTGTACAAGTACAAAGACACTTACATTGATTGAATGAACTTTTCAAACTGCCTGCCTTGTCTCCTATACTGGGGTACCCTGTCGAGTACAGACTGGTACCTTTGAAGCTACAATGCAAACCCAGCTGTCAGTCAGCTGGATCCAACGCCTCCATTCCTAAAGAGATCTGGTTCCCCTGAGGTTCCCAGAGCTGGAAGCCCCCCAGAATCAGTGGTTGGGTGTCATTCCTACCCAGTCTGTGACTGGGGCTCCTATCAGGAAACATATAAAATGGTGAGACAAAGCTTAGGGGAGGGGGTGTGGCACAGGCCTTTAATCCCAGCACTCAGGAAGCAGAGGCAGGCAGATTTCTTTGAGTTTGAGGCCAGCCTCGAGGCTTCAGCTATTCAAAGGCCTTCCCTGGTCAAGTATAAATCTCTATGATTTGCAGAAGCCACCTCTCCTTGGTGACCCACAGAATAAACTGTGGCTAATTCAGGGTTGGTATAAAGCAGGCTTGAAAAGAACTCTTAATTTTTATGAAATCCACATTAGTTATTTTATATAAAATATGACTTAATAACAAAGATCTGAGTCAAGGCTGTGACTAACCCTGAAAATCAGGACCTGTGAGATAATGATGGCGTCTGGTCCTTGCCTGTCCTTTTGATCAGCCTCATCACACTGATGAGGAATCTAACTCTCTCCTAATCCAGCAGCACTCAAATCCACTCATAATCCATTGAACCCTCTCAGATTTTGTTGCTGTTGCTGTCATTTGTTGTTTTGAGACAGGGTCTCACTATGGGGCTCTGGCTGGCCTGGAACTTACTCAGAAACTGCAGGCCTCTGCTTTCCAAGTGTGGGACTAAAGGTGCATCCACCATACCTGGCCGTGTTCCTGAAGAACGATTGATGTGGGATACCCTATCGAACTATGAGTGGTGCCACCCTGGGAGGGGATCTTGGGCTATACAGAAAGCAGCTGAGCAAGCCATGGAGAGCAAGCCAGTAAGCAGCATTCCTCCATGGCTTCTGCTTGGGTCCCTGCCTTGAATTCCTGTCCTGACTTCCCTCAGTGATGATGTGTGACCTGACAGTTCCTCCCACAAGTTGCTTTTGGTCATCGTGTTTCATCACAGCAATAGAAAGTAACTAAGACACCCTCTGAGAGAATTGAGAGGATGACCCCCAACCTACCCATGATCCTGCGAATGGGGTCGTCAGGACTGGCCAGGGCCTGAATCTGGCCCTTGAGCACAGTCTCCTTATTGATGGAGAATGGGGAAGATCCACACAGGGAGAGGCAGCTGCTCACCTCCTGGCACACTTTCTCCCCAATGGAAGTCAGGGCATCCTCCAGATGGAAGGAACTAGAACAGGGAAGGGGAAGGGAGCAAGGAGAACAAAGGCCTCATGAATACAAAGTATGTATCCCGGGCCCGCTCTTGACAAGAGCGGCGGCACTGAGGTTGGTAGGGATTTGTGGCTTTCTTCCCTGCTCCCTCATCTCCCAAGCCGTGCATCCTTTCCTAACCATACTGAGGTGGTGGTTTGCTTGTCAACAGGGTCTCATGTAACCCCCAGGCTGGTTAGAACTTACTTTATAGCAGAGGATAACCCTGAATTTCTGATGCTCCTGCCTCTAACTCCCAAGCGCTGGGATTAGAGCTGTGAGCTCCCACACTGGGGTGCACACATGGCCGGCACATTTGGGCACATGCATGGTAGGCATGCACTGTGCCAACAGGGCTACCCTCCAAGCCTCAAAGCAGTGTCTTGTCCATGCCTATGTGATGAAATACGCATGGAATGACTTCTAAATATCCTCAAACACCTCCAGTGAAATACACGGAAACCAGAGCCTTGACAGCTGTGGGACAGGAGGGAAACAACAACATTGAATACTCTTTTGTTTCCGGATTGCTTTTTACTATGCCAGAGATCAAACCCAAAACCTTGCATGTGGTACACATTTTGCCCCCTGAGGTATGGCCCCAACCCCCTGCAGCTGCTTTGTTTTGATTTGTTTTTCGAGGGGATCTCAGGCAGCCAAGGCTAGCCATGAATTCCTGGTCCTCCTGTTTTGCCTTTCAGGCACTGGGATCACAGCCTACACTAGCTATTTTTAGAAGAAAAGTCCAAAAATAAACAAACAAACAGAAAAGAAACCCAACTATCCTTGATTCCTTGGGCGTGCCTGTGGACAGCCTTCTGCTGGCAGGGCCACCGTGAGAACACTTCCTTTTCAGCTTTTACTCACAGCTACTGAGTGACTATGTGCCTCATGTAACTGCTAAGTAAAGGTATTCTGGGGCCTAGAGCCTCTGCACTACAGGATTTCTGGGAACTAAGGGCCAGGTCCCAGTGGCACTCTATTCACTCCTGCTGCCTGCTAATCCAGATGCAGCATCTCTTCAGTGCCATGTCTGCCTCCATGCTACTTTGCCTCCCAACAGTGGACTAAACCTCTCAACTGTAAGCCAGCCCCAATGAAATGTTTTCCTTTACAAGAGTAGCTGTGGTCATGGTGTCTCTTCACAGCAAACCCTGACTAAGACAGATGAGAAGGCCAGGGTCTGGGTTCCTTCTTAGAGTCTCTGCACTGGGCCTTGTCAGATACAGGGCATACTGAAACCATTCAAATCCCACCCTATGTGCTATGACCATGGGAGTCATGGACTGTCTGTGTTGAGGGACATCTGCTAGAGATGTCGCAATGTGAAGTTTGATACATGATAAAATGACACATTTATGACAGGCACAAGCCGTCTATGAGCTATGTGTAAATGGCAGGGAGCTAACGTTATGGGTGTACCCTGGAGGAGTAAAGTTTGTTTCTGCTATGATCTTTATCTTCCAAGAACCAGAGCTAAAGCAACTGGCTGTCCTGGGGGCCAAGGAATATGTTACACTGGTTTCTCTAAGATTGTGGATTTTACTGCTAGCTGGTAGTTGAAAGCAATTAAGTGGGTAGAAAACAGAGGGGTATTTTGTTAAATAAGGTTAGGTTAGAAAACAGAGGTTAGACATAGGCTTAGTTCCACCTGGAAGGTGTCTACTTCAGTTCTGCATGTGTGTTAGAATGTACTGGTCACAGCACAAACAGAATTGTTCAGTGTGGCCCTGAGCACTGACATTTGAAAATCACAATCTAGACAGGCACAGTAGCGCACGTCTGTAATCCCAGCACTCTGGGAGGCAGAAGCACGCTGATCACTGTGAGTTCAAGGCCAGCCTGGTCTACAAAGTGAGTCTAGGACAGCCAAGGCTACACAGACAAACCTTGTCTCAAAACAAAACAAAACAAAAAAACAAAAACAAAAACAACAACAACAAAAAAAAAAACAGAAACAGAAAGAAAGAAAACCACCATCCTAGAGCCTTGTCTAGTCCGCAGGCCCCTGTAGCTTGAGCGCGGCAGCCATGAGTAAACCGCAGGCAGGCAGTCTTTCTGGCCGCACCGGGAAACTCTCACAGCACACTGCGATCTCATCCACTGCAGGGCCCCAGCCACTTACGGCAGATGCATGTCCGTTAGCAGAATCTTCACCGTCATCTTGAGTTTCTCGGCAAAGTCGGCCTGGCCAGAGAGTCCAGGTGCGGCACTACCAAAGGTGACCAGCAGCACAGCTCCCAGGACGGCCAGCTGCTCCAGCTGCAGCTGCAGCTCTTGGAAACGAGACTGGTCCATCAAAATGGTCTGCAATGAACACACACAGTGCTGAGCAGATTCACGCTGGCCAGCAGACGGCGGTGTGGCCACACCTCCACCTGCTCTGTGGCGTCCTTTCAGAGCTGAGGCTGGAGATAAACCCAGACTCTAGTTCTCACAAGACTGTGACCTCAGGCAAGTCTCCTTTGCTCTCCCAGGCTATCCAAAAAGGGGGTTGGCTCTTTCTGTACAGCTGCTTGAAAGATGAAGACACCAACCAGCTTCAAGTGGCTGAGAGCCAGCCACTGTTCTATCAGTAAGAGGGACAGTAGTAAGAACAAAAGGGTCAGAAGATGGAGCAACGGTGGCCAATGCTTTCTGTGTATCCAGGACTGACTGTCCCAGATTTGAAAGAGAAACATCCAAAGTCCTGTGACCCCATCTTTGTTCCCACAAACCAGGTGCTGATAGAGAGGAAAAGTTTCTCGAAGCAGGGTCTATAATTACTCATCTTAGTACAAATGGGACAAAGGAAACTCAAGAACTGGCCAAGCTGGGCACCCTTCCACCCACTCGCAAGGCTGAGACAGGAGAATTGCTATGAGTCTAAGACCAGCCTGAGATACAGAGTGAAACCCTGTCTCTGAACAACAAACCAAAACAACAACCACCTCAGATAAGTAAATAAAGAAAACAGTAATGATAAACTGAGCAGAACTGATAACCACACAAAGCACCTGAAAACGGACTGTGTCTCACGTTAAAGAACCCAGTCCTTCCACAGACATCAGTGTCAAAGAAGCCAGGTCATACCCTGCCAGAGACTCAGAGGGGTGAGAAGGGCAGCAGGAGTAAAAAAGATGTTGATTCAGTTCAGAGGTTTTTGATTGTTTTCTTTTTTTTTTGGGGGGGGGGGGGGGGGTGGGCTTGGAGACAGGGTCTCACCATATAGCTCTGGCTGTCCTTCCTGGAGCTTGCTATGTAGACCAGACTGGCCTCAGACTCACAGAGATCCACCTATGTGTCTGCTTCCAGTGTGCTGGGATTAAAAGTGTGCACCATGCCTGGCCCAGATCTCAGTTTTCACAGGTTTATTAAACAGGCTTTAGGAACCTGCTTCGCTTTAAAAGGCTAGTCAAGACAATGACTGACTATGCTCATAACCCTCAAACTTCAAAGGCTGGGGCAGGAGGATTAACAAGAGCTTGAAGACAGCCTGGGCTATAGTGTTAAAAACAACAACCTCCATCTTCCCCCCCAAAAAGGAATCAGAGCCCAACCTTCTTGGGCAGTAAAGTGCTCCCTGAAGACTGAGGTCCTCTTCAGTACCCAGCTTTGCGACAATGGACCTTCAACAGCCTCACCTTATCTCCCTGCTACATGAGCACGATGGCACAACTCTGGCAGGACCTGACCTCAGGATGCAGATCTCCCTGGCTGAATGCCAAGATGTACAGTCCCAGCGATAACTGCCATCTTCCCAACAGCCAGGCTTTAGGAGAAATGTCAGGTCCACAACTTCCCTCCAGAGGCTCTGGCGCCACTCCCCAGAGCCACTTTCCAACAAACCAGCATCACTTTAGGTCCCCTGTTAGTACCAAGAGGGAGCTCAGGCAAGAAGGGAAGCTTACACCTTGTGAAAGAAAGAAATAAGGAATACGAGAAGGATACAACAGAAGCTGCAGGGTCTGCCGCTGGGAACAGAGACAAACGGCCTCACACGAGGCAGAGGGAGTCACACACCAGGTCAGTTATGGTTAGAAAAGGGGGGATCCCTCATCAGTCATCTCCTTGAATGATTACTGCAGCTGGACATGTTCATAAAAACAGAAAAGCAAACCACCTCTCACTGTGGAAGGGGCAGAAGTTTTTGTAGATCAAGCTGTGAAGCAATATCACTTTTGTAGTTTTATGTGTTTTCTTTATCTTTTCATTTTGTTTTTGGCATTTTTTTTTTAAGTTGTTTTTAGAGACAGGGTTTTTCTGTGCAGCTCTGGCTGTCCTGGACCTTGCTCTGTAGACCAGGCTGGCCTAGAACTCAGGGATCCACCTGCCTCTGCCTCCCAAGTCCTAGTATTAAAGGTATGGGCCACCACTGCCCAGCCTTTTTTTCTTTTTTAAATCAAGACGAAGAGACTAAAGAGGATAAAAAGCTCAGCAGGGTAGACAGGCAGCACTGCGCAGTGCTGGTAGGGCTATATATAAGAAAGGGCGAGTGGTTTCCCAAGGTGGTGTGCTTGGAGTCTACCCACAAACTCCAAGCCAGGGTACAGCCTGAAGGATCAGGCCACATGGCCACACAGTCTGCTGCGCAGATATTCACAGAAGCAGGATGCACAACAGCCACAGCGGCAACGTTCACAGCTGGGAAGGAGATGAGGCGCGCACACATAGCGGCGGACTGACAGGAAGGCATGATGGGCCCTGAAGGCATTAGAAGTAAGCCAGGCACGAAAGGATGAATGTGGTGTGACCCCAGGTACATCAAGCGCATAGAAAGCTGGGCCCCTCATCACAGCACTGAGACTGGGAGTTCAAAGCCAATCTGGGCCACAAGAGACCCTGTCAGAAAAAGCCAAAACAAGCAAATAAATAAGATAAAACATAAATTTTCAGAGTGTTCACATTTATAGACTTGAAGTAAAATGGTAGTTGGGGCCACGAGGGATTGGGAATTACTGCCTTAGTTACTGTCCTATGCTCTGAAGAGATACCACAACAAAGGCAACTCTTATAAAAGCATTGGCGCAGGACTTTAATCCCATCAGAGGCAGGTCAATCTCTGTGAGTTCAAGGCCAGCCTGGTCTACAGAGGGTCCAGGACAGCCAGGGCTACACAGAGAAACTCTATCTCAACAAAACAAAACAAAACAAAAAACCACCAACAACAAAAAAGCATTTAATTGGGGGCTTGCCTGCACTTTTGGAGGGTTAGTCCGTTATCATCATGGTGGGGAGCAGACAGGCAATCTGGAGTAGCAGTAGCTGAAGTCCCGGCCCGAAATGAGCTTCTGAAACCTCAAAGCTCAATGGCTCACCGGTTAGAGAACTGGCAGCTCTTACAAAGGACCCAGGTTTGACCCAGCACCCATACGGTGGTTCACAACCTCCTTTAATTCCAGCTGCAAGGAATCTGGTGCCCTCTTCTGACCTCTGTGGGCACTGTACAAACATGAATATCCCACACAGACACACATATAGAATTACAAAATGATAAAAATAAATCTTAAAAAAAAAAAAAACAAAACAACAACAACAAAAAAAACTCAAAGCCCACTCCCAGTGAAATACCTCCTAATCCAAAAAGCTCTACCTCCTAATCCTTTGCAAACAGTTCATCAACTGGGACCTAAGCATCCACATATATGAGCCTGTAGGGCCATTTTCACTCAAAGCACCACACTGACTGATGGGTAGAGTTCCACAGTCTGTGGGACGGAAACACTGCAATGAGAATTCTGTACAATGTTGTGACTGTAATGACACTTGACTGAAATCTTAGAAATAGCAAAAATGGTATGTTCATGCCATATTTTACAATTAAAGGCACAATGGGGCCTTCAAGATGGCTCAGCAGGTAAAGGTACTTGCCATCAAGTCTGATCATCTAAGTTTGATCCTCAGAGCCCATGTGGTGGAAGAAGAGAACAATTCCTGAACACTGTCCTCTGACCACACCCCACACTCACCTCCCACGACAGCATGAACAAATGTAAAAACAAGTAGTTTTTAAGTGCAATGAAAAATAAATCAATTAGGTACTGGCCCGTGCCATTGAGTGTCCCCCACTGCACCTCCCAAAGGAGCCAGACACAAGAGCTCCAAGCTGTATTCTGCATTTGTAGGAGCCATCCAAAGCAAACAACTATAGAGATAGAAGGCAGAACTCAGAGGAGGGGAAGGGATGCTACTGACAGTGCCTGCAAGGGTGACACTGTGCGAGCCTGAAAATATACTAGAAACCACTGAGTGGTACGTGCAAAGGAAGAAGACACGGTGCATCTCTGTGAGTTCAAGGCTAGCCAGGTACAAATGGCAAACTCCAGACCCTGTCAGAAAAAAAAGACAGAGAGAGAGAAAGACAAAGAATGAAAAAGAGAAAGAAAGAAAGAAAGAAAGAAAGAAAGAAAGAAAGAAAGAAAGAAAGAAAGAAAGAAAGAAAGAA